TAAATGGCCCCATAATACTGAACACTCACAACTACAAATATTCAAATATTCATATTCTGTAATCTATGCAAAAATTAGAGAAGCTTAAAATGACATGGTTTTTTTTTCAGTAAAAAGGGTTCCTTGTACCACAACTTTACAGTGATAATGAAATTCCAGTTATGTCAAACCTTTCATTTGAATTAAGCTGTCCTACATGAAGCTGAATCACACAAGGATACATGTTGTAAATTTGGTTTGTCAAATTTGATTACAACCATTATTTTACCAGAACAGTCTGAAACTTCTATTAGCCATTTAGATGAAGGTCCTAAAGGGCATGTAAGTCGATATCATGCCTAGCACCTTCACTTGTGTGCCCCTTCATATACACTGTAAGTTATGTTAATGTTATAATATATGTTAATTAGTCATAATTAAGATGAAACATGCCACGAGTGCATTCCTTTTAGATTTTCAAGCCAGATCTAAAATTGTACTCCTAGATTACAAAATAAATGTGGCACAAAATGGCTCTTGGAAAAACAATCTTTTCTCTTTATACTTGGTGATTGCCTGAAGTACATCCATGGCCAAGTGCACAAAATAATCACGGATTTTATTCTGACTTACTTATACTAGAAATGCAGCAAGTCAAGGTGAGTAGTTTTTTTTGATAGCTCACACATTCAATAGTGGTTTTGTCTCAGCTGGTTATAAATACACATTTAGCAAACAGCCTTGTAAAGTTAAAGCCAGGTGAGCAAAACAAGAAAAACAGATTTGTGAGTGTTCAGTGATAGCTGTATCAGGTTGCAAATATATCAACCCATAAGGTGATGATATGGACTCCAGCATTTAAATATATTGTCTTCTACAAGATTTAGCGCCTAGTGCTGAGAGGTCAAATATCAATTTTCTTACTCCTCTAATTAATCAGCCGCCATTAACACCATGAGCTCTTTTGTTTTCAAGGATGAAAAACACTTGGGGTTCTGTGATGGTAACCATGACGATGCCAGATATTTCAGATGTCACAAATACAGCAACAACAAGAAACATGAACCTGACTGACCTTGAGTTAAAGATAAATTCTTGTACGTGTTTGTTAGACCTCCTGATAATACAATAATTATCTGTCCTAAAATAATTTCATTCTAGAATGTTCTTTTTACATTTAGCACTTCTAATAGACAGGATAATTTTGGATAATGTTAATTAGATGACCTGAAATAATGAAGTGCCATTGATAGTATAATCGGATTTCCATCTTTCTGCTTTGAATGTCATTCGTCAACTTAAACCTTACTGAATTTGAGAAGAAACCCAAGCAGCTCTACGAAAAACAAAGAGTTTTCGTAAATATCGCCGCCAGAGGTCTCCATGCCCCCTTACATGTACATGTAAATAACATCCAGACAGCTGTTTCTGTAGCATTTCATATGAAATTTATTTTTTTGCTCATGAAACAAGTTTTGACAATACTACAATAACAATGTTCCCTTTGACTTATTTCATTGCCAATTAATAAACATTGAGTGCTGTTGTTGACTTTAACCCTGCTCAACCTACAGTAGAGTTGAACAAATCAACACTCTTTTGTACTTTCCAATCTTTTTTCTCATAATGCCAAACATTCCCAGCAGGGTCACATGCCATACATTTGAGCAATCCAATTTAAAGACCTGTTAACAGGAAAGCATTATTTCTAATTGAGAACAACTCTTTTCTACAAAAGACTGCAACTTGAGCACCTTGACGAATTACATATTGCTGTAAAATCTTTCATCTGTAAGAGCACCCAAAGAGTTGTTTGTGAAAGATGTGTGCTAATATATACAAACTGAGTTGAAAGGGAAATCCTGTGCTATTGATTGGTAGATACTGGAAGCACGTAGTGTAAATTATCTTGAAAATGTCAACTTGGCAAAATTTTGGGGGTCTGAAAAATATTACTTCCAGTGAATACATACATACAAATGCATACATGTGGCAAAGAGATGATTGAAAATAAACCAGTGCATATTGAATTGCTTTACAACTTTGACACAGAAACAATACATCAATTAAGTTAACTTTACTGATAAATGATTGGCAATGCAACAAGGAAAAAAAACTACCCTTTTTACAAATGCATTCAATTATACTTAGACTATGGCAAAAATAATGTGCCCCACAGCAAATGCTGATCACAGATTAAATGGGGTTTGTGTTAAAAACCTGTCTAAGTGATTCAAGAATTGATGAGTGGAGTGGAAGTAAACAAAGTTCCCGATTCTGTGCCAACATAAATCACTGTACTCCCACTCATAACAAACTCAAAAATTAAATTAGCAAGCAAAATAATAATTATTTGGCATAAAACTACTTTGAAAGAAAGCGAAAGGTTGGTTCAAAGTTTTGCTGAAGCGTTATTCACGAAGCCTGCCTGCTGTAAAAATAAATATTAAAAAGATAATCTCTCGACTTCGACCTCTAATTATTTAATTTCGCTGCTCGCAGGAATTCGATTCTCACGCTAACCTTGTTGTAGAAAAATAATAATTCAAACTGAAAAGAAGAGAGAAGTTCCAAGTGACCTAATTACTGTTTAATTTCAGGCATGATTGATGCAGATTATCTCGGCGAAACGCAACGAACATTTTGACACAAAGCAACGACCTAAACAAGCTCATTGAGAGAAATCGACCACGCTGTAGCTGACAATACACGTATCAAAAACTATTATACAAGCTTGTGTATTAACTGTTAAAATTCGACACGGTAAAACACGAAAATAATCAAAACAAGGAAATATTGCATTACAGAACCCCAGGGAAAACTCGATCGCACTAAAAATGAAAACAGATCAGCGGTACGGAATAATTTAGTACCTTCGTGAAAACGATCGTAAACACTAATTTCCGTAGTAAAAACAATAAAAAAGTGCGAAAATCTAAAGTCAGTTTTCGCCTGAAACGGTTTATAAACGCAATAGCTTGTTGTTTTTCTCTTTTTCCGATCATAAAATATTAATAGGCTAGCGACTAAGTAAGATCAACAAGAAAACTATACACAATACTCACAAAAGAGCATGGTACAGAATTTCGCCGATTCCTCTTGGCATCTCGAGAAATCGGTAACAGTAGTTTTGTATTCTTCGATATTCATCTGAGCGAAATCCCCACGTCTTTCCAGTGCCATATCCCGATCGTTTATCATCTTTCGTTCTTCGTCCATTCTGTACGGTGAATTCTCCATCCTTCTTCGAATCTTGATCTGGTTGCAAGCCAATTCTTCTCAACGGTACAGTTTCTCCGTCACAAGAATTACTTGCTGAGAGCTTTCCTGCGAACTGGCCACCGACGCTGAGGATATCTATACTTTCTCTTCTTAAATCCGCCGTTATGGGCCTAGCCATGATTCAACAGATATCATAAAAAGTCCACGCATGAGAAGAAATCAAGCGATAACCCTTGAACAAAAACATCACCTAAAGAATACTCAACAAACTCCGGCAAGCGTCTTGAGTAATGGAATGGGAAGAGTCACGTGGTATCCAAGCACAGCGAGATTTTGATTGGCTCTTCGCCATGGCGGGAAACGTGTGTTTACATCGGCTAAAACTCCTCCTACAGTCTATGCACGATTCATTTTGTATTATTTTAAGGCGTTTAGCAACTCTTTTGAGGTTGAAACTCTATTTGTCGCCATAGCTGTTTAATATTTTTCGGGGATTAGAAGCATTGATCTACTGTTCCTTCATCGTATCCGGTCAGATCGTCGAATCCCAAGGGATCATCGTATCTCTTGGAGGGAATGGTCATATCTCCAAATCAGATCGTTCCACTGTATGGTCAGATCGTTGCACAAAAAAGTTAGATCGTTCCACAAAAATTCAGATCGTTCCACAATATTAGTTCAATAAAAGATCTTTAAAATAGTAAATAGATTGCTCTACGAGTGAAATTCGCCGTGTAAGTTCTGAATACCGCTCACATCATGCAGATGATCGAACAGGACGATAAAAAGTTTCTAGGATCGATACTAAGTAAATGTGTCTAGGTCAACTTGAAGTTCGTTCTTGTATAACCAGCCTCATTGTCAATAAATTCAACTTAGCTAGTGCAACAAACTCACAAGTACATGCGCTTGTAAGTTTAAACAAGGTGCAGTATCCGAGAGGGAAAAGTGCTTCTCAGTTAAAATCGGCTTTCAAACCGTGACCGATGAAGAAGTAAGTTTGATTATTTTATGGCTAGCTCCATCAGCGAGTATAATAAATCAAATCCTACGCTGTGATTGGCTACTCAAGCTGGCAAGATGGCGCTACCTTGCCCACTCGGGACTACCCGCTGAGTCCCGCGAGAAAAATTTCCCCGAAAGCCATATAGTGAATCCTTTTTTATCCATAAGCTACTGGAGTGCTGTACTTTGGAACACTATATCCACGTACTATACTGATGATTTTAAGCAATGCTATGCCAAAGTTAGAAAAGACGTTTTCATTAAACAATTAGACTTTAATGCGACCTCGGTTAAACGCAAAACAAGAACGTGACGGATTTTAAGTTTTATTAGAATTATGGAATTCAGTTTTATTGGAATTCTAAATTATTAGAATTGTAGAATTATAGAATTGTTAGAATTGTGGAATTATTATATTATTACTGTACATATTTCTGTTTTTCTTAAACTTTTAGCTAGATACACGACCCCACAAGAAAACTTATTGCTTTAAAACCAAATCTTGTTTAAATAAAGGATTGTTCTTGTTGATGCTGCTGCTGTTGTTGTTGTTGTTGTGGCTGTTGTTGTTGTTGTTGTTGTTGCTGTTGTTGTTATTGTAAGGTCTTCGTCAATACATAGACTGATTGACTGATTGATGCAAAACGGAGGTGAGAACGCTAACTTTGCAAATGCCATGATCATATATTGAGTTTGATAATAAGGCTTTAAATTGCTACTATAATCATAGTTAAATTTAAAACCGTTCCTGGCCAACAACAATAAAATTATAGAAATAAAGTTAAGAATTTTCGTTGAAAAGGAATATTGTATTGTCCTCTTTTTTTATCAAAATTCTTAAATTTATTGCCATTATTTTAGTTTATTTATTTCTTTTATCAGAAGAAACTCCGGCTTGTGTTTTAACAATATTTTTAGCCAGAAAACGTTTTCAAATTTTATTATAATTCATCCTGGCTGCAATCTCTAAAACTTTGCCTATTGTTATGGTTGAAATTTTTTAAGACAATAAGCTTTTCGTTATTTGCACGAAGAAGGAAAATATATTGAAACTTCGACAGCCCGCGCGTCATGAAGCAAACTTTCCCTTCCGTACCCCCGGTAAAATTGTCGTTGTTCTGAGCGAAATTTCCCTTACCCCACCCCAAGAAAGGTGATATTATCAACATCTGGTCGTCAACGAAGATTTTGCATCTCGCGCTCGGAAATTTGCTACGCATCGGTTCTTTCAAACTTTTGTTCTAGAAACAAAAGAGCCTCGAAGCTGCAAACAATAAAAATGCCCACAAAAGGAAGTTAATCCCAGAGCCATTGTATATATATTGAAACTTCGACAGCCCGCGCGTCATGAAGCAAATTTTCCCTTCCGTACTCCTGGTAAAATTGTCGTTGTTCTGAGCGAAATTTCCCTTATCCCACCCCGAGAAGGGTGATATTGTCAACATCTGGTCGTCAACGAAGATTTTGAATCTTGCGCTCGGAAATTTGCTACGCGTCGGTTCTTTCAAACTTTTGTTCTAGAAACAAAAGAGCCTCAAAGCTG